TATCAATAACAGGGCCTGCCCCGTGGCTTAGCCGTTAAGTGCCCATGCTCCGCTGCTGGCGGCCCGGGTTCGGTCCTGGGCGCGCACCGACGCACCGCTTCTCCGGCCATGCTGAGGCTGCGTCCCACATACAGCAACTAGAAGGATGTGCAGCTATGACATACAACTATCTACCGGGGCTTTGGGGGAATAAATAAATAAATAAAATTAAAAAAATATATTTGAAATCAGGGAGTGTGATACCTCCAGCTTTGTTGAAAAAAAAAATATATATATCAATAACAGATTTGTAAAATATTTTCCATATAATGACAGTAAACTAAAAGCCATACTGGACAGGAGCTTCTATAAATCAACAGACTAAATAACTGTTATGAGTTGAATTGTATCCCCCTAAATTCACATATTGAAGTGCTAACCCCTAGGACCTGAGATGCAACATCATTTGGCGATGGGTGTTTACAGAAGTTATCAGGTTAAAATGAGGTCGATGAGCCACCCATTGTGTGATATCTTGTTACAACAGCACCGGCAAACTAAGGCAATGACTAACCCAGAATATAAATGGGTAAATGGCATGCACAGATAATTGATAGAGGAACAAATACAAGTAGTGATTAAAGTTATGAAAATATAATCTTTCTAACGAAGTGAATGGAAATTGTACCGGAAAGAAGGTATCATTTTCCACTCATACATTTACTGATAAATATTAAATAAAAGAGAGAGACAATTTCCAGTTCAGGTGAATGTGTTGAGAAGAATATCAGAACACACTGATAATAGAAGTATAGGTTAGAATAGCTTATGGGAAAGCAATTTACTAGCACCTATCAAAATTAACATGTTAACTTTGGAGTGAAATATTTCCACTTCTAGGAACATATGTCACAGAAATTTTCAGGACAATATATTTGTACCCACATATATGGATTTCATTAATTTTTAAGAGAGAAAGAAAAATTGAAAACACCCTAAATGTCCTGTGGTAAAATATATTAAAGTAGATATATAATGAATTTTCATATGTATGGACATGGAAAGAGCTCCAAGACATACAAGACAGTTGCAGAACATGATTATAGGAGGATCATATATATATGTAAAGATATGATTTATATATTATTTTATGGGAAAAAATAACATGTTGGAAGATAAATATGCACTCATTTGTAAATGCAAGAAAATCTGATAAAATGCTAACCAATGTGTCCGTTAAGTTTACTTCTACAGAGTAACCCAGTCTCCCCTATTATAAGGATTTCGAATGGTTGATTCTAGAGTGGTGCTGTTAATTAACACTTTTGGCTATGTTTTCCTGATAAATTATATCCTCTTTATGGTTCTCAGTGTATTTACCAGAAAATAGAGGGATTTAAATTGATTCTTCTTCCCTCATAAACTTATTTGAAGGCTAAATATGATAATGAAATTAAAAGATGATTATAAAAAATAAAAAAGGAAATGCTATTCATCATTTTATATAATGGAAAATAATAAATGGCAAATAAATCCAATATAGAAAACTTATGTGTTTAACAACGAAGGAAGAAGTGATATATTGTAAGTTCTGTGACAGGCACAGTGAGAATTTAACTGAGGTACACTTTAGCCAAGTCAGTATGTTCTCACAGCGTAAGGGCTAAGACATCGCACTCTGGATGCTGACTGATATGGCACTTTCTCAATAGAAACATGTTCTTGGAATTTACAGTAGTCCCCTCTTATCTGCAGTTTTGAGATTTCAGTTACCGGCAGTCAACCACAGTCTGTAAATATTAAATGGAAAATTCCAGAAATAAACAATTCATAAGTTTTAAGTTGCATGCCGTTCTGAGCAGCTTGATGAAATCTCGGGCTGCTCTGCTCCATCCTGCCCGTCCTGGTTCTCAGATCCACTGTCACAGTATCCCAGTGCTTGTGTTCAAGTAACCCTTATTTTACTTAATAGTGGCTTCAAAGCCACCTTGATTATTAATTATTGTTGCTAATCTCTTACTGTGCCTGATTTATAAATGAAACTTTATCATACGTACGCATGTGTAGGAAAAAACATAGTATGTATAGGGTTCGATACTATCCATGGTTTCAGGCATCCACTGGGGGTCTTGGAACGTATACCCCATGGATAAGGGGGGACTGCTGGACTATCCCTGTGACTCAATGTCTTCCAGTGTAAAATGGGGTGAAGACTAGTGCTTATCAGATAGAATTCTTCTGAGGCTTAGAGAGTAAATATGTATGATACCACCTTTTGTGCAATACATTGTCAATATATGTTATCTAACAGTGTGATCTATTATGGTCACTTAAGATAATTTTGGAGATGTGTTTACTGTCGCAAACATTCAGGAGAAACAAATCAGGGCATGAGGTAAAGCTGTATCATTATAAGTAGATGAAAATGTGCCTTGCCACTCATTGTTTGACTTTGCTAGTGAGACAGAAAGGAAACCTGGACATTAATAACTGTCTGATTACTGGCTGATTACTGTTCATCAGTGAAAATCTCAAGGCCAGGGAGATAACATTGAGGTTCGTAGCGGTGGAGCATTCTGGTTTCCTTTAGACAAGAAGAATGTGAAGAGTGTTAAAGACCTACACTTAAAAAATGAGGAAAAACAAAGTGTAATAGAAACCTATCGTAGAAGGCACACATTTATTAATCATCACTAAGGCCATTGGTTGGTCTGGTTCCTTTATAATTCTACAAAAAGACTTAAAACTCATCACATTTCTCAGTAACAGAAATTTTATATATATTTTAGATTAAGTACCTACTATGGGTTTGAAGATTTACATAAATTGTTCTATTTAACACATAATAATCTAAGTGAGGTCAGTGTTAGTATTGCATTTTACAGATAAAGAAACTGAAGATAAGAGAGTTTGAACCATTTTCCTACAAGTTTAAAATTGAACTTAACCAACTTTCGCTAAAAACTGTTCATCCTATGAGTTATCTCTCGGCGAAGGGCTGCGTCCAACAGTTGTCTAAGCCAGAAACATGGCATCATTAACAACTAACGCCCTCCCAATCTTTCCTCATAACACACATACAGACAAAAGAAATTAAAATATATATATATATTATTGATTCAATTTTGCATGTTTGCTGAAATCAACCCAAGCTTCCCTGTTTCCACTGCTTCTAATCTAATTTAGACCCCCATCATCTTTTCCCTGGATTGTTCCCATGGTAACTTCCTTAATAGCCTTCCTTTCTCCAGATTTTTGCCTCCTCCAATTCACTCACCAGTTTTTAGCTGGGGAAATCTTTCCAAAACATAAATCTGACCACATCCCTCTGTGTAAAACCTTTCAATCACTTCCCTCTTGTTTTCAGAACAAACTCCTAACCATTCACATGTCCTGCATGCTTCTACTCTTGCTTTCCACATCCTCGTGTCAGCAGCACATCTCCCACCGCCCAATTAGGACTCCAGACTTCTCATATTTATGCACGTCTTTTTTTTTAATTCAGTAAGCTCATTTTCATTAGTATTTACACATGCTTTCCCTTCTCATATAGCTAATTTATACTTACCTTTCAAAGCACATCTTATGTATTTTACATTACTTTTTCCAGGAAGTCTTCCCTGGATTAGCAGCTCTCCTATGGGCTCTAATTAAACCTTTTAAGCTTCCCATATCGGTTACAGTTCTAGGCTGCACTGGCAATTATCTGTTTTCTTGACTACAACCCCTGCTACACACACACACTGGCCATAACACACACAAACATCCACACACATACTACTTGCTCATTCATTCCTTAAATAGAATCTTAGGGTAGTAACTTAATCTTTCTGAGCCCAATTCTTTTATATTTGCAAAATGAGAATTACTATGCCTATCTTATCTTCTTGCAAAGACCATATGAGAAAAATGGAAATAATATGTATGTATATGTGTATGATACTGAGATAAATAAGTTTTTCTTTCACGGTAATTGTTAACAAGTCTGTTCAAATTTCACTGTAATTGCTATATTTATTGACTGATTTTCATAGACATTTTGCTTCTTCCAATTAGCAATAGTGATTCTTAGACATACATGGAAAGGGGCGCCTTTTCCACGGGCTTCTTTCTCTACAAACTATGGATGAAGCAAGACCCCTACATTCTGTTCTGGCTCTTTTGGTTCTTAGTGCCGTCGAGCTGATTCCAATTCCTAGTGCCCGAGTGGACAGCAGAGTGGAACCCTGCCTGGTCCTTTGGCGCCATCCTCTTCTCTTCCAGCGCTATATCAGACTATGCTCTGCTGCTATTCATAGGCTTTTCATGGCCAATTTTTTCGGGAGTGGGTGGCCAGGTCCTTCTTCCTAGTCTGTCTTAGTCTGGAAGCTCCACTGAAACCTGTCCACCGTGGGTGACACTGCTGGTATTTGAAATCTTGGTGACATAGCTTTCAGCATCACAGCAACATGCAGCCACCACAGTGTGACAACTGACAGACAGGTGGTGTGGTTCCCTGACTAGAACATGAACCCAGGCCGCAGTGGTGAGGGGGCTGAATCTTAACCCCTAGACCACCAGGGCTGGCTCTACCCCCAAGTTTATTCCCCCAATGTCAGATCCTGTCTATGTCTCTGAGATACATTGCTTCAAATCATATCTCTTGCTGTAAAACATCAAGGACCTTGGAAAAATTTTGGTGATGGCACAGAAAATATCTATTTTCCAAGAGGTACCTGATAAAATATGTTATACATGTAGAAGAAGTATTGTTCTGGAACCTCTCTGTAGCCTGGATAGTCCTCAATGCAAAATGAAACCTTTGTTATAAAACTGTTTCATTTTTCAATTTTCCCCTTTTAGATGAAAGAATGAAAACAAAACATCCTAGTAATTAAGGTTTCCATTAAACTGGATTTTGCTTTAAATGCAAGGGCTTGTGATTATGACTAAGGTGACTGAAGCCAAGTGGAGGCATCTGCGGAGGCTCTCATGCCTTTTCTTTCTGTGTTAGACAGGGCTATGAAGAGCTCGAGAAGCAGCTGAAAGACGTCTTTAAGGAGCGAAGCACTATCCTCCATCAGCTGACAAAGACATCAAGAGAACTTGATGGAATTAAAGACAACCTGCAGGTGAGATGGAAACCAATTTTCCCAGCAGCAACGGATGAGAAGTCACCTGGTTTATCCCGGTGGATTAACACGTCAAGACTCCTACATTTTTTACCAGTTTTGAATATATATCTGAACTTCACCATGGGTGTTATTATTTATTATTATATGAGCTTTGAAAAGAAATGTCATTTGAAATATAGTCTAGGAATCTGTGATTTGAAAATCAGGAATGAGAAAATTGTGTGCTTGGCAAAGTCATCAATTTCTCACAGCTTCCAAGATCAATTTGACCCCTGTGTTTTTGTATTATAAAATGATGAAAAGTAATTACGACTGATTTAAATGAATATAGAAATGATTCTAGAAGAAAATTTTAAATGCCACAAAGGATACTTCTGAAGATTCTTTAATAAACCTCATTACTAAAATGGGTAAATGCCTTACAAAGGAGAGTGTCATCTGTGAAAATGTGTTAAGACTCAGTGAAATCTCAATCAAAAACCAAAGACAAGATCTATATCTGATAAGAAAAAGTTTCTGAAATATCTGAGAATATGTTTTAATATTTCGCTTTAACATTGTATTTATTGAGTACATGCTGTGTACTAAAAGCTTTGCATGTACTATAGGATTTAATTCTCATATCTGTGAGGTGGGCACTATTAACATGATTTTTCTTGTTGCACATGAGGAATTATGCTTGAAGAAGATAAGTTATTTCTGAACGTCACAAAGGAAGCCAGGGCTCCAATGCAGGCAGTCTGGATCCTAACAGCGTATCTGTTAGTTATTGCTCTGAACCATGTTTCTGAGCCATGTGGAGTCTCCATTTATCTTTAGCTTTCTATTCCCATGATGATGATGATGTTAGTAACCACTACAGTTTATTGAACACGGTCAAGGTCTTGTGTTAGGTAGTCTTTCTCCAATTTTTATTTGATTTTCACATGACGATTATGCAATGGTTATTATGAGTCTCATTTTATAGGTGAGAAAACAGCGTTAGAGAAAGGTTAAGAAACTAAGAGCACAGAGAGAGTTAGGCGGCAGAGCCAATATTTGAACCTAACGCCCAAGCTCTTGTTCCAGAAGTGGGTTACATCTTGAGAACATAATAGCAAAAAAACACCTCTACTCCAGTAAGACACAGTGACAGGTAGCAGAATGATAACAGTGCAGAAATAACAGTGCAGTGATGGAAGTACGCACAGGGCATTAGGGACGCACTGACGAGGGTGAAATGGGTGCGTATTGATTTCTGGAGGAAGCTGATGCCAGAACCGCACCTTAACATTAAGTAAAAATTCACCAGTTATGTGAGGCTGTAAAGAATATTTAAGACATCTGCACCTTCTCAGAGGCATGGAACACCTGGCACATTAAGAATATTTCAAGCATGTGGTGAAGTGCCCATGAGTGGTCAGTGTTTACCATATTCCCAGGACACTCAGTTTCTCTGTACCAGTAGCCTAAGTTGAGATACCTAAAACTGACTTGACACAAATGTATAATTTCATGGAGTCACATTTTTCGAAAGGGTAAAAATCCCATCACTAAATGTAGTTGCAATTTTTAAAATGCCTTTTGTTTGTTTTGTGCCAGCCATTGTGCACTTTTTTTTTCATTTTTTATCTTATTAAATCCTCTTAGCGACCTCTCCCTAAAGTTAAGATATTGTAAAATGTAAAACAAGGAAATAAGACTCAAAGAGCCCACAGGAATTGCCCAAAGTCATACATCTAATAAATGGTGATTCCAGGTTTCAAACTCATAATAAATAACTATATAATGCGTTGTACATATTTTTTTTTTTCCAATGGGACTTCATGCAGACATGAGCTTTGAAAGTCTTGTCCACCTCTGTAACCATAGCACTTGGGTGGCATGGTAATATAGGTCAATCAATAAACATTGTGTTGATCAATCAGTAGGTATATTAACCTTTGCTATCCCTTAAAGGCATCAAAATTATTTTCCAAGGAGAAGACCCCACTTCCCTGGACATTGCTGGGAAGTAATAGTCACAGACACTCCAGCTCCTCTAATTGGATATGCTTTGCAGACCCCCATCTGCAAATCTACCCTTTTCATTTCTTCATCTCATGTTTTGTTTTTATTTTTTTAATTTTAAATGTCTTGAGGACAGTCCCCTGCCTTTTTAATCTTGGTTTCCTTCAGAATGCTCAGAGCATAGCACATGGTCAATAAATGAGTGAGCATATTCTTATTCCACTTTTCACCAAGTGCCTTCACACATTTATTATCCTCTTTGAATTTTCCAATAACTGTGTAAAGTAGGCTTTCCAAAATTCTCATCCTTGTTTTTCAGATAAGGGAGTCAAAGGGCAGATTTTGTGACCTGCCCCAGGTCATGTGGCCATGATGCACTTTGAGCTGTGAATCCCGTGTTTGATGACTTCCCCCCCACTTAATTGCACCTCCTGCTTTCTTTGTATGTTATGTGAAGCCACCCTTTCCAAATAAGCAGAGCACCTTTTATCGTCTGCTTCCTAATAATGACCTCAGTCAGTCATTCTAGGGAAGAACTTTCTCTTATGAAGTTCAGCTTGTGACATCCCTATCAGCATGCTTATCTTACTACAAGAAAATTGTCTGTTTTTAGCATTGGATTGAAAAATTTGTAAAGGCAGACTCCATGCTTTTGCACAGATCTTTGCATAATTCATGGTAGATATTTGTTAAATAAATCTTAAGTAAACAACATGTTCGCCATTCTCGCTCTTGTCAGTTCCCTGCCTGTCACAGCTGCTCCTCCTATAGACAAGGTTATTGCCTCTCAGTTTCAACTTTTTATATCAAGAAAGACAGGTTGCCCTGTTAAATAGTTTATTGAGTATAAATAAGAAAGTTCTTGGGGAAGACTTAATGGGACAGATTGTCTGATGAGAAAAGCTCAGTGGGCTTTTCTGTTTTAATTCATGGTCTATGAATGCTGAATTTGCCAGAGGAAATAAACACTGCAGACTGAGGTGGTATCTTTTTTTCCTTAATATCCTGTCTGTACAGACCAGTTGCAATTTTACATGACCCAAGTTTTTCTGTGTATTCTGTGCATTACTCATAAATCATTAATAGACATGACCAAACAGGTGAATGATTTTTGGCTGCTTTGATATTGAATTGTGTTGTTACTTAGCTTATTCAGGGAGGCATTTTATGTCCCCCTGTGTTTGTAGAAACTATGCCAGAGCTGGTTTATCATGCCTGTGGAGAACACAGTAAAACTTCAAGAAGAACAGGAGATGGATTTTACAGTCACTTATAAAGAGGCCTGGATATTTGGAGAGCGCCTTCTCCTGCATCAGACCTCTAAAAGCTGAGACTCAGCTCATTCTCTTTCACCCACTATGTAGTGCATTCACTAGTTGGTGTTATAAACTCCTGTGTGCATCCTTAGAGCCATGAGGACCATGGTGGCATCATTTGCATATTCTTACTCCAGGGCATAAGTGCAGTCACATCTGTGCCATAGAGACAAAAGTAAAGTGAACCTCAGTTTTATCACTTGAATAAGACTTCCTTTTCCCCCTTTTCTTACCAGTCTTTGAAAAATGATGAGAAATCCGCCAAAACTGATGTTCAGATGCTTCTGGAAATAGGTCAGAAACAAAGGTAAGGCTGTACTTCCCTTTTATTTTCTCAGTTTTTTTTTTTCCATAGTGTCAAACTCCAATCAGAAACTTCACAAAAATCAGTTCATTCTAAATGCGTTAATTTATTATTACACTTGAGTGAATGAGAATTGTGTTCAAATTCAGATTCTTATACAATAAATCTAGGGTGGGGCTAGGGATTCTGCATTTCCAGCAAGTTGCCTGGTGATGGGGACGCTGATGCTGCTGGTCTGCAGATCACAATTCACGTGTTTAAGGATCTGCAGTATTTTCCTCTATTATCTTAGCAAGATGGACCCTGAGAAGTCTGCCCATCATTAGTCAGATTCGATAACATTGACCTCAGTGGGCTATTTTGAATGGTATCAAAACTGGATCATGGTGATACAGGTGGGGGTGGTAAGGAATGGAGTAATCTCTTAACAATATAAGTAGAATTAGTACAATGTTACTAGTGTCGGATTTTTTATTTTTGAAGGAAGTGTGTTATGAGTTAGATTTCCATGCAGTATAAAAAGCTATGATTTGAAATTGCTTCTCAAAGTAAGAAAAAGATATTTGAAGGTAGAAACAAGCTAGCATTTGTTATACATTTACTAGAGGCTCTGATAGATGCTGTGAATATATTTTCTTGTTTCACCCTGAGCACCTTACGAAGTAGATATTATTATCCCTATTTAATAGAGAGGAGATTGTTGCTCAAAGTGCCTACTTGAATTGCTGAGAGTTGTATTCATTGGAATTTGCTCTGCTGAGTCTTACCCAATAGCCACACCCTTTCACATTAGTTCATGGATCACAAAACAAAAAGCTGTTAAAAAGTTTACACATGCTACACTATGTAGTCCCTTCTCACCATCTTGTGTCTTCTCCACTGTCTTCGGCACTTGACCCAGAAACCTCTCATTGACGTATATTTGGATTGAGTTGATAACATGTTAAAAATATCAAATCGAGCGTCCCATATTGAGTCTTATTATTAATATTTGAATGAAATTATTATTTCTTAAACATGAAATTCTTTTAAAAGACAAATATTAAAAAGAGCTTGTGTAAAATATTGGTCTGAGCATGTTTCCTAAAGTACATCATTTTAAATGATTTTATTGTTCTGAGATAAGCCACGTCTTAAAGCACCTATGCTCAACATTATACAAGTATTTGTGGTGCATTGAGTTAGTGATGGAGAATTATCAACAGCATTTTGAATAGAAATAACTAGTCAAAACAGACCAAAAGATACTGAAAATTATTCCTTTTTGAAGAGCATTCCATGTTGGGAAAGGATAATAAAAAAATATATAAAAATAAAAATGATTTCTGCCCCATGCATGTGCAGCACAGCTGAGAGAGTGGCAGTGACTGAAGAAGACACGGTGACTCAGGGAAGATCAGAAAATAAAGCTGTGTGCCTAGACTGGGAGCAGAGAGAAACTCTTCCAGGTCAGCTCAGCGTGGACGTCAGCATAAGCAATAGAGAACCCGTCATTATCCATGATGTGGATAAAGAAAAGCCTACTCCTTTACTTTGCTGATATTTTCTTAAATTATCTATGGCTGTTTCCACATGACACACAAAACACCCAGGCAAACCAGAAAAAACCTGATTAGCTTTATTAAGAATTTCTGATCATCATCTACACATTTGGTGTGGTATACAAATACCCAGACGATGGACCAAGTCTTTAACGAAAGGATTAAATGGAGCAGATGTTCTGGTACTGCAATTTCAAAGTTTTATCCAAAATTAGAAAACTTGTTTAAAATCATAACTTGTATAATGTACACAACTAAAGTCAGAATGGAAAATTCAATAAATTCTAATGATAATTTCTGAAAAGGTTATGACATTTGTTAGTTTTTGCTGTTTATTTAGGAAGAGATATATAAAAATCACGGTTATCTGAATGTGAAGGAGGCTGTATATGTTATTTCCAAAATGAGAAGTATCAATAAACAGTAAAAGAGAAAAAATACCATCTTGGAATATAAAAGTATTAACTGATTGCATAGTTAGAAGTGTTATCTGAGTCTGAAAGATTGTAATGTGTTGTAGATGCCACTTGGCTATATACCCAGCTGTCAATAACCCCGTGTCCTCGGGGGTCCTTGCCGCCTGCCCCTTCCCTTCAGGAGTGGTCCCTAAATGTCTTGCTTTATTTATGTGACTCTGACAGTACAGGCATGGTTAACTGGCTCAGAGGTGGCCACCGAAACAAAACTGAATCAGTTAGAACTTCCCTCTTGAAATTGTAACCAAGAGGCAACTGGTCAGTCTCTCTGTGTAGCTGGAACCAGATTGTAAGTAAACTCAGAGGAAGTGGGGTGGCCATAAACAACCAGATGGAGGGAGCAGAGAGTGCCTTTCTGTCCAAGAGAGACAGAGAAAGGAGTGTGTGTGTATGTGTACTCGTGCACATGTGTATGTTTTTACATGAGAGAGAAAGTTGTGTTGACTCTGGAGTGTTACATTTTCAGAAACATATAGACAGCCTAGACTATTTCTCAGAAGAGTCTCCAGGTTGATGGAGGGACTTTTGAATCATACTATGTGAGGAGCGAGAGTGTGTGACCACACATTAGAGGTTCTGGGGGAAAGGAGAGTCCCCTGAAGTGTCTGAAAGGCTGTCTTGAGAAAAAAAGAAGACAACATTTTATTCCCTACAGTGGTTGGTGGGTGGAGATTCCTAGAAGGCAATTTTGGACTCTGTGTACTAAAGGATTTTACAACATAGCATTCTCTGAAAATGAAAAGAATGCCTGGGATAGTGGCAAGTTTTCCATCTGTGATGTTATTACAAGACAAGCTGGTAACCACTTGAAAAAATGCCTTCCTGTAGAGTGATTTGGATGAGTGTATTTTTATATTTATAATTTGGGATGGAAGATGTGTGAAATGGCTGCCCTTTAAAATCCCTCATAACCCTGCAATTCTATGGTAAAATGTACTCAACTTCTGAACAACCTATTACAGGTGTCACTGGAGCCATCAATTCTTTAGAATTAAAGCTTCAGTTCAGTACCAAATAGGGCCCTTGAGCAAACCCCAGCTGGTGGAGAGGGTGGTCCATAAGCAAGTCAGCAATCATCTCTCATAGGAGCATAGCTTAGCCAGTCTGTGGGCAGACATGTGGGGTCACCTAAAGCTTAAGAGCAGTGAGAATGTGCAGAAATAGGCCTGGAAGGCGGGAGAGAAGATGGAGAGTCAGAAGGTTCAAAAGGCCCACTTTGTCATTCTGTCTGAAAATGTGCAGCATTCTCTACCTTCCCCAGTTATTGTTAACAGCTTTTACATGTATTGTCTTACTCCCCACATTGCTTATAGATTTCAGTAAGTGGGACTTTTTGAATATGTGTATGCTCATTTTTATTTTTATAAAATATATAATTTTATAATCTAATTAAAAATAATATATGTATCATTTCAAAAATGAAAATGAGAATTTCAAAATCCATAAATAATAATTAATTATTATAAGATTTTATTATAACTTTTTTTCAGTTGGAAATATAATGTTTGATAGTATTTTTGTTCCACGCTTGGGGAAGATTTGAACGTTAGGGATAGCGTGTAGCTCCTTCCTTCCTTTCTTTCTCTTTCTCTCTCTTTCTCCATAGAGGGAGTGTGATGACTCTCTAGAGTGTGAGCACATAGGCTCCAGGACACAATTTTGTCACCTCTCTAGGCATCAGTTTTCTATCTGTTTTATGATATCATAGTTTGATGCAAAATTTATGAGTGTCTGGTACATTATAAGCCTACAATATATGTAGATATTACTATTATATTATGTTATGCCACAGATGCTCTTTGTGGAAAATATCAGAAACAATAATAGAAGTCCAGATTTTAAGTGTCCATATATGAAACAATTCTGATAAATGAAACCTGTTGAGGCTTAAAATCCACTTTAAGCAAAAGTGTGTTATAAGCTTCACCCAAGCAAGCATAAATCACCTAAGAGCCAAACTGACTGTAATTATTTTATAACTTGTTCCAATTATATTTTCCTTCAACAAACAAAGTCCAAATTGATTCCAACAGTCATACAGAGTCTCACTGACATTCCTGAAATTGAGATGGGGACCTCAGTGTTTCTAGAGTAAGAAATCTTGGGGCATCATTAAATCTTTGGATGAAGGAGTAGCTTGCAGTCATGCAGGATGTGGTTGTGACAAAGATCTCAGATTTATTAAGTGATTATTGTCCAGGCATTGTGCTAAGCATTTTGCCTACATTGTATCATCTAAACTTCACTAAAAACCTATGAGGTAGTTCTGTCATTGTGCCCATCTTATAGATGAAGACAATGAGTCTGAGAGGGTGCTCTCCTAGCCTCTACTCTCTAGCTTGTGGTTACACGCCCAAGTTCTAGAGGTAGTCTTCTGGCATTAGACTGGGGATTTTAAATTAGTTTGGGTGCTGGTAAGACTAGAAAAGGTTTCTGTTTGGTTGTTACTGTTGCTTTGAAGGAGTTTATTCCTCCAGCCAGAATTAACACACACTCACTCGCTCATACACTAACCTTATCTGATATCTGACCTTTGTGAAATGACAGCTTAGGTCATAAAATGAAGGCACAGAAAGATAACATGATTTGTCATAAATTAATAAATCCTAAACCCTTGAGAGGAGTGCATATTTATGGAAATATTCTTATTTTAAACAAATGAGACAGATTCCATATATATCAGTGAGCTTGAGACACAATGTGTATACACGTGCAGACAGGTATTTTTTTCTCTTATCCTCAATAAATGAGGCAGTCCTCAACTTAGAAATAAGTCTCTTTTCTCTTTGTTTTTACAAAATGTCTCCTGCCTTATAAAGGATGTCTAAAGCACAATGCTTTAGGAGCGTCCTAAATCAATTAGGAGCGTCCAAAGGGAATGGTAATTTTATCCTATCAGCAAGTCTATGGTGACTTTTTGCTTTTCTTTTTTTTTTTTTAACTTTATTTATTTATTTTTTTCCCCAAAGCCCCAGTAGATAGTTGTATGTCATAGCTGCACATCCTTCTAGTTACTGTATGCAGGACGCGGCCTCAGCATGGCCGGAGAAGCGGTGCCTCGGTGCGCGCCTGGGATCCGAACCTGGGCCGCCAGCAGCAGAGCACGCGCACTTAACTGCTAAGCCACGGAGCCGGCCCTATGGTGACTTTTTTCTAACCAGCATGTTCACACCCTGGTGTGCTGTCACTAAAATTAGCTTTTTAACTCTAATTATTATATTGATTTGATTTAACACACTATGCAGCTCACAGATGATTGACACAGTGGGATTCTTATAAGACACAATAGCAAGGCAATTTCCTTTAAATACAGCTTGCTTTTAGTGCTTGCTTGGGAGAGAAAACTCTTCATTACCAGAATCCTGAGATACATCCTGTAAGCTTAAATGTGTCTCTATACAATTCTCGTTACCTATTTCCTAAATGTACATAGACAGCAAATCTCCTTTCATAACGTACATAGGAAATTACAGAATTATATCATGTCTCTCTTTTGCTCTCTATTTCTACTAAACCAGAGAACAAATGAAGTCTCTTCAGGAGATGCTGCAAAATCAACTTAAAGAAACATCTGAGAAAGCAGAAAAACAAGAGGCTACTGTAAGTGCGTTTCTTTTTTATGTCCTTTGCTTTGGGGCTGGGAAATTGTTAATTTTTTTCCCCAAATCACTATGGAACAAATACACCTATAAAAAAAGAAAATGAAAATATAATAGGGAAAATGCAGTCACCAAGGTCATAAAAACACTTGGCCAGCATTCATTCCAAGAAAATATTTTGTTGTGTTTGATTCTTGGAGACTTGTAATTGCCACCCTAATTTGTGGATGAAAAACTGAGGGCGAGAGTGCTGGTGTCAGGCCCCACATCAGTGGCCCTTGAACTAAATTAAGTTGTACCAATCCCTAAGCCACACTCCACATCCACTGACTAGAAATCTCTCAAATGGGGGCCATGACATCTGTATATTTAATCAGCTCCACGGGTGAATCTGATGTGCCCCAAAGTTTAGGAATCAAACTTCTCTCCAGATTTTCTCTCTCAAAATGATGTTCTCTTGACTCCACATTTCAGTTCCTACAACGAATATTCACCACAGGAAGGAGGGTGGTGCTCTTGACAGCGGTGCCGGAAACTGGGTTCCCACCTTAATCCCCAGACCCACCTTATGCAGATTTATGGGGATGGGACCTTTTATCTTGTTTCCAGAACCTGAGTGTGTTTTAGAATATAGTATATTAATAGGAAATTTGAGGAATAGTAAGGTCAGCAGATCAGGAAATGACTACCATTGAAGGTAGTTTATTTCTCACGGTTCTTGAGAGGGGTGGCACGCCACATCACGGGGACCACACAGGGAAGCACTGGGTTGATCACGAGGCAGAGGGAGGTGGGGGAACTGTGGGTGAGAGCCGTTATTGTGGTTTCTGTGGGAAGCACTGGGTAGAGGCAGGCTAGCCCTCTTAGGGCTGGTCAGTTTGAATGATTTCAGTGGGCTCCGGGGCATAGGACTGCCCCTAGTTGTCTGGTACCTGGCCCTGGGTGATTAGGACAGGTGTATAGTGGCTTGGAGTGTGAGAACTGATACAAAGTGTGGCTGGAGTTGTGGGCTCGGTGTTGGTTAGTTTGTATTTGAAAAACATACCACCAGGGGGAGAACTCTGGGGAGGAAGGGAACAGCCATGAGGGAAGCAGGAGATTAAGGTAGGTTTACTCAAGCATATTGTTGGGTTGTCTAGAACAAGGCTTGTCCCCATGTAGGACAGATGTGAAAGCATCAAGTTCACAGAAGCCAGAAACATGGTTAATACAGGTCTCCATCCCATCCCATCCGGGTCAATTACCCGGGATCCCAGCCCCTCTAAGAACTGTCAGCCTGCCTTTCTTCTGCAAGGCTTCCTTGAACAGCCTCGATCAGGGTGTGGAGTTTTGTTTCTGAAGCTCAGGCCTGTCTGACATCTGGGACACCTGCTTCTTGGAGACAGCTTTTCTAATAATGACTAACGTTAACTTTCCTGGCTACAGGATTCGTTTTTTTGTTTTTTGTTTTTTTTTTTACTTTGAGGAAGATTGGCCCTGAGCTAACATCTGTTGCCAATCTTCCTACTTTTTCCTTTCTCCCCAAAGCCCCAGTAGGTAGTTGTATGCCATACTTGTACATCCTTCTAGTTGCTCTATGTGAGTTGCCACCTCAGCATGGCTTGATGAGTGGTGTGGAAGTCTGCACCCAGGATCGGAACCTGCGCACCCCGGGCCGCAGAGGTGGAGGGTGTGAACTTAACGGTTACACCGCTGGGCCGGCCCGAGGATTGTTTCTTGTTAATAGATTTACTGTTATTTGCTCTGTCCACCTGTAAGGACAAGCATGTTGATCTGCCCGGCTACGCCATGGCAACAGTCACTGCTCACCTGCAATGTATCTGGCTCTCTGGACATCAGATGTGACATAGAAAATAGATATATTTTCAATACCAGGGTGCTGATCCTTCCCCTCAACATCTGGCCCAGCCTGCTGAGGGGCTCTAATTGCCATCCCATTTCCACCTTGATCTATCACACTTAATCTGGATTTCTTTGTAACCTGGTCACAAATGACAGCAGTTACAGCAGAATAGAAGTGCTCGCACATACTGTTTTCTCAGCTCCTCCTAATAAAACTATACACTATGTTTTTTTACTGAAAATATGTAACTCAGAGAAGGTAAGTTTCTTGCTTGTATTTACACAGCTAATAGTTGGTGGAGCCAAGGCATGAACCATGATTATTCCAATATGTTATGCAACCTGTGTCTAAGATCCAAAAAGAAGAAAGCCATAACTTTTGAACGAGCACAACAATAGTTAGAATCTCCAAGTCTGGGGAATGTCGTGGACAAAGAAGGCATAGTTGGGAGGAGGAGAGGCAGGCCTGGCCGGGTCACCCTTGTCCTCAGCATGCTTGCAGTGCTCAATATTGAATCCTCTCCCACCCCAAAAGACTCCACTAGCCCAGAAGCTCCCTGTGTGGATTCATAACCTAGCATATGCTCCAGAATAAGAATATTCTGGGTTTAAATTCCTACTGGGTCATCTACTAGCTCTGTGAATATGAGCAAGCTCTTTAACTTCTGCAACTTTTCTTAGTTGCAGAATTTTGGGGATGGTTCAAATTAAAATATTATACACAATTTCTCTGAAATGATATCTGGCATATAGCAAATAGTAAACACTAAACTAATGTCATTCTCCTTCCCTCTCTCCTTCCCTTTTCAATTTCATCTCCATCACTTCTTAGCTGAGTGAACATAAGAAAGTTACTGTATATCTCTGAGGCTCATTTATGGTAAAAAGCGGGTTTGTGCTACTTATATAACCATTTATTTGGTGATTATATGAGCTGATACACGCAAAGTGTTGAGCAGAGTGTATAACCAACTGTAAGAACCTTCAAAACTATATGAAAGCCCTACAAGACTGCTCCCCCCAGCTTCAGACACCAATCACAGGCCCAGGTTGTCACCTGTGCTTCTGACTGACCAGCTGTAGACTGGAGGTTCCAGAGACCCCCTCCTTGGGTTCAATTAATTTGCTAGAGTGTCTGACAGAATTCAGAGAAATATTTTACTTTCTGGATTACCACTCTATTATAAAAGGGTGTAACTCAGGAGCAGCCAGAGGGAAGAGATGCACAGGGCAAGGTGTGGGGAAAGCGTGTGGAGATTCCACGCTCTCCCAGCATGCCACTCTCCCCAAATCTCATGTGTTCACCAACCCAGAAGTTCTCTGAACCCTGTCCTTTTGGGGTTTTATGGAGCCTTCATTTCTTAGGCATAATTGATTAAATCATCGGCTATTAGAAATTGATTCAACCTCCAGCTCCGCTCTCCTCCCCAGAGGTCAGGCGGGTGGGACGGAAATTTCCAAACTTCTAATCACGTGGTTGGTTCTCCTGGCAACTAGCCCCCATCCTTAAGTGCAGTCCAAAAACACTTAGGAAATTCTAAGCGTTTTAGGAGCCCGAGCCAGGAACTGTGGACCAAATATGTATTTCTTATAATAAATCATAATATCACAACCAACTATCATTATCCTCATCATCACTATTACTATTTTATCTTTATAACCATTTAAATCCTTTGTTATCTGTTAATATCATAGTAAGAATTATCAGGAATAAGAGAAGAATGAATATCTTAAAAAAAGAAAGTTTAAAGTTATATTCCATTGTTCATAATTTAAGATGATTTATTTCCTCAACTCTACTTATATTCCTGTTAAAAATAGTTTCTTTATGCAATTTATGGATACCAGGTCATTAGTTGCCAATATCTGCTCTTAAAAGCTGACTTTTAATTGTTTAAGACTGACTTCGGGTTCCCAGAGAGTCAGAAGCACTTTCTTGATGGGAATCAGACATTTTACCTATTAGTAATCAAGGTTAAACACGGCTTCATTTTCACTACTGTTAATAACTACTAGATAATTCAGGCAACCTTTTACCATGGCTTGCACTTTCTTAACTGCAGGTGACTTTTTTCTTCTTTTTATTTACTATTATTTTCAGTTGTGTTTTTTAATAATTTTAAAATCATATGTCTGCGTATAATTATTATATAGGTATATAAAAATGTATATGTTCATATATGGGTATATTGGTGTGTGTGAGTGTGGAGAGACAAGGAGAGAGAGACAGAGAGAGAGATGTGGGAAGAGAAAAGAAAATATATTTCAGCACAAGATTCTCCTTTATTCATTATATATTTTATTTTATTTATTTATTTATTTATTTTTGTGAGGAAGATCAGCCCTGAGCTAACATCCAATGCCAATCCTCCTCTTTTTGCTGAGGAAGATTGGCCCTGAGCTAACATCCGTGCCCATCTTCCTCTACTTTATGTGGGATGTCGCCACAGCATGGCTTGACAAGTAGTGCGTCAGTGCGCGCCTGGGATCCGAACTTGCGAACCTAGGGC